AGAACACATTCTAGTATTTCATGAGCCTGCCTTTCTATTGGGAGGCGATATATACTTTATTTTTTATCATAAACTCACAAAAGAGGACTTCTCTCAACTACTTCAGAAAGTAGTGAGAATGATGAGATAAATGTATTCAAATGGGGAGGATCCTTTGAGAAGATTAACAACAATGTATCTTTTATATATTTCTTCTTCTTCTTTTTGTACCAGGGATCAAACTCGGGACCTTGCGCTTGCGAAGCAGGTGGTGGAACCACTGAGCTAAATCCCCAGCCCTACTATATTTTTAAAAATTTAAACATTCACCACATATTTTGATCACACCAAGCAAGGCAGGGAAAGAAAGAGGAGGGAAATAAAAAGAGGCACAGCAAAAACAGGTGGGAAGGATGCTGGGGGTGAACTCAGGTCAGTGGAGAAAGAAAAATGTATTTTCATAGAAGTAAGGAAATGTCCACTCTTCTCATCAGGGCTAACAGCTGGAAGGAGGCTGACAGAGGAGCAACTTTTCTGGCCTCTGGGCTTCGCCCTCTCCTTTGGGTCTAAGTCTTCCCAGATGCCCCACAGAGTCCAGGGAGGGCTCAGCTTGCAGGAAAGGTCTGCAGTGGCCCAGCTCCCTAGACTTACTTCTTATTAACCCTAGGGTCAAAAACTAGCACAATCTTTTAACCATAAACCATAATAACAGAAACACTAATAAGGCTGGTGGTGGCGACGGCAAAGGTATGAGTAACGATAGCCATCATTTTGTCTGCTGTGACTTGGCTTTCAATTAGTTGCTAATTTGGATTGGCAAAAGAAATGTTTGTTTATCACCTTCTTTCAAGGTTTACAACAGTCCAGCTTTGAGCTGGGCGTGGTGGAGCATGACTGTAATCCCAGCACTCGGGAGGCTGAGGCAGGAGGATCACTGTGAGTTTGAGACCAGCCTGGGCTACATAGTGAGTTCCAGGTCAGTCTCAACTACATAGTGAGACCCTGTCTCAAAAAACAAAGAAACAAAAAAAACCCAAAAAAACAAAAACAAAAAAAACCCCCAAAACCGACCAACCAAACAAAAAACTGGCCCTGGAGACTACTGTGTATCACTAGAGTCTACTTCCTCTATCCTGTGGGAGGCAGTGGGGCCACGCAGCACCAAAGAAGACTCAATCTGCCAAAGGATGCGTGGCTCCCAAAGCCCTGTTTTCAACAATAATTATTTTTAGAAGCAGAATCATAAGGAGCATACATCACAGAACAACAGAATATAAAATACTGTTAAGGCTTGAACTTTCATGATTATTTTTCTCATATATGCCTTGAAACACACACACACTCCGACCAGTTTTCCTCTCATGTTGCCTGGTCTTTGCCCATCTATAAACAAAAATGCCCTAGAGATTAAACACTGCATAAATATAAGATGGAACAGATGGTGTGCTGAATAAATACCCCGCCGCCTCAGAAAACCCAAGACTGCAGGTGCTCTTGACAGACAGTATGTTTTTATAAGGCCAGTTGTAGTACACATTTTTATAATATGAATATCATTCAGGAAGCTGACCTGTATACAATGCCACAAAATAGTATATAAAAGGCAACATCCCCGAAGACGTCTAAACTACTGTGTGACTCCGCTTGACGTTCAACATGTGTCCCACAGGTTTGTCATCTGTTGTCGCTGATACCTGTTTACTTGCAACTCCCCACAGATACACCAGTGAATGTAGAGTCTATTCACACTGGGCTGTGCACCGAGACTCAAGCCAGAAACTTGCTTCTCAGTGGTATGAAATGGGCACAAAACAGTGATGCTTTGAGAATGAAAACTTTTATATATTTTTATTAATACTGTACTTCGTTTATTAGTTGTTTAGAAAAGTTTGTATCTGAGGAATACTTAATTGATCTCACCCAATCGAGTGTACACACACACATACACACACACACACACACACACAATTACTAAGTAATAATTCCCAAAAAAGTGGTGATTAGCACTAATGTATTTCAAAAATTTTTATTGTTTGGGAGGACTATTTATCTAATTATTGACAATGGACTGTTTTAAGTTGAACACTTCCCTCAAGGTGTCTGAAGTACCCACTACAAAAATCACAACAGAGCCTGTGGTGGGCATTTAAACTAAAAAAGGAGAACACACAAGAGGGGCAGAGAAAAAATTGAACCTGTAAGTTTAAATGTATCGCTGTATTTGAGAGTGGACAAGCTCTGGAATTACTTGCGTTACAAATGTTCCAGAGGATGCAAAACCTTCCACCCCTGTGACCGTTACACCTCATTCTCTCACCACACCACCCCTTCTCTCCTTCTCCTCTTCCTCCTCTCTCTGCTCCTCTCTCCCTCTATGTACATCCATATAATATACACATATTCTCAATTCTTTTTATGCTCTCTCCTTATTTTCAGATCGATGTTATGTCTACTTTTAAAATCTTTAAAAGACAAGAAGTTACCCATTCCTTTATATCTATAAACTAATAAAGAAATCTGATGAAGAACAAAAGGTCAGGCTGAACGTTGCTGAATTTTGACTTATCTGAATTCAGTGACATATCTGTAGCTGAAATCAGCTTATCCCATCAACAGCATACATTAAGTGCTTCACTGATGACATCTCTTTCCTCACAAATAGGACCAGAAAATAATCCACCTTGAAAACTGGATGTCAAAAATGCCAAACCCAATCAGCCTAGCCTTACCTTACTGAGCAGCCACTGGGCAAGAAAACAGTGATGGCAGTGAGGTAAGGACAGGCTGGTTGGAGTTGGCTTTTTTTTTTTTGGTACTGGGGACTGAATTCAGGATCTCATGTCCTGGCATTTTTGATCTCTAGGTTTCAAGGCTGATTATTTTCCAGCTAGGTCTTATTTTAAGGGAAACCTGGGTCTTTAGGGAGAGAGGGAAAGGAGAAAGGAGCAGGCAGTAAGACACATATAGAAAACAGTGAGGGCTGGGAATCTGTTTGTAGTAACAGGGAAAAGGAAAAGTCTCATCAGCTACTTAGCAACGCCACTTCCTTCCTTCTTTCTCCCTTTGATTAGATGGTCCTCACGTGACAAATGAATCATGGCAGGTTCAAATTAGATTCCATGCCTCCTAACAGCCCTCTGAAAGACAGGGCAGTCCACGCTTGTGAATAATGCAGTCAACTCTGGCTAAGGTCTGGCCTAGCGCAGCTTGATGAGGCTTTGCAGATGGATGAGAAGCAACATGAGCAGAAATCCAACTTCTGTTCTAGAGGAAAATACGCAGCAACAAATTTCAAATCCATTTGACTGGTGTAAGCTCATTAGAAAAGCTAGAGTTAGACTTTCCATTGCACTTTGATAATTTACCCAACTAAAATGGAAGGCTGTAATAATTTATTTATATTAAAATTTCACAGAAATCTATAAAATATTACATCTAATGCAACTTTCTTCTGGACTACCATTTTGTTTCAAGAGGTGTACAAAACCACAAATTTAGTTAATTTTGGTGTACTTAATGCTCTTAAGTGAAAGCGCACAAAGAGTTTATTTTTCCAGACAAACCTAAAATATCAAACGAGTGGACGTAAAACCTTATAGCTACCAGTGAAAGATTCGTTAGTGCCATGATTTGAAAATATTGTAGAAATCTCAACTGCTTCTTAAAGCGATGAACTTGTTGTCAAATTCAGTGTTGGTACATTTGTCTGTTCTGAAATGGACAAGTTAGAACTAAAGATTAAGGGCCGGGAATTTGGCTCAGTGGTTCTGTTGCCTGCCATGCAAGTATAAGGTCCTGAGTTCGATCCACAGTACAAAAAAAAAAAAAGAACTAAAGATTAAGACAGCAAAGAAAACAAAAATTTAGATAAATTATGCAAAATTTCGAGAACTCATTCATTTCCTTTGGGCTGTACAGACAGGATGTGAACACTGAAATCTGTGGAAACAGTAACAGGGTTCATCTGTTTTCATTAGAACAATTATAGCACTTCAGTTCTATTCCATAGTCAAACGTTTTGAAGGAAGGCTTCTAGAAGAAATCCTGACATTGTTAATAGTGAAATAAAAATGCTTTGACCAGAAACAACTTTAAACTACTTTTATCTCACCAAATGCCACACAGTCCTTTCCTATTCAGTGAAAAACAGGCTTGTTATTAGGAAAAAAATATAGAACTACGTAACTGTAGTACTAGGCTTTTCTATAAACCATTATCCTTCAGCATGAGCCACTGGACAATTTCAGCCCTGTGACTGCAGCATAAAGACCGGTTTGACCTTATCACCACTGTTTGGACATTAATTTCTCCTCCAGGGCATGCAGGTGCAGGGAATAACGAAACAACGCCCCTTCTCAGAGATTATGGAGCGAGCATTTACCAACTCTGAAGCTTCCCCACTTGGCCTCAGACTTCTACTCCCCCCCATTTATGCCCTTTGGGATTTTATTTCCTTCCTTCCTGGTATTGGGACACTCCACACTGGTGTTGTTTCTCCCTGTCTTTACAGAAGGTGCCCATTTCTGTGTAACCCTGAGCGGGTGTCTTAACCTTCCTCATCCTCATTTCCTCTTCTATAAAAGGACAGTGGTAAGGACAGGTGACCCCGAAGGGTTGTTGCAAAGAGTAAATAAGTTAATATACGTAAACACCTAGAATAGTACCAAATACATAGCAAACCCTAATAGCATTGGCTATTATTATTATTAATATCATTTGCACTTGAAAGCATCTCTTCACAGCCTAAAGAAAAATTCTGCATTTCTCTGTCACGTGGGCACTTTCTTTTTGGTACCGGGGATCGAACTCAGGCCCTTGAGCTTGTGAGGCAGGAGGCAGAACCACTGAGCCAAGTCCCTGGCCCATGGGGGCTTTGTATAAAATAGGTTTCATGGTACCCAGTGTCGAGGCCTCTGCTCTACCAAGACAACCTCAGCATTTCCTCCATGTTACTTATACTTTCTCATCAAAGAAAACAGACTATTAATAATAGCCCACATTCCCGTCTTAGAGCTTCTTACCTCTGCTTGAAATCCAGGGAACTGACTATAGGGTTTTGTTTCCACATAACAGTATTTCTGGTTGCTGTCAGTGAGGCAATTTCTGGTTTTCGATGACACAGCTCGCCTGGCAGTGCCCTTCTTTACCAAAGAGGCCATCGCCATTGTTTCTATAGACAGTGAGTATGTAGAGCAATTTGCATAGCTGTTTGAAATTCTTACTGCAGACTTTTTGCTGCTGGTACTCTGGACTAGGAGGGGTAGGCAGATCTGTGGTCTATGCCAGTCTAAGTGGAGGTCTGGTGTTGCTTACCCTCCTTGGTAGGAGACTCCAAGAAGCTGACTCAACACAGCCCTTTTGGTCCCAGGGCACTTCAGTCATGTTATTTTGCTGGATGGAGAGAATTTTGCAATTGTTTCCAAACATGGTAAACAGAGGTAAAGTGATCTGCCTCTATGAAAATAAACTTCTATTTATTGTACAAATTCCTATAAAGTGCTTGTTCAGTAACAGAATACTTGATTCTCCTTTTATACCGAGTATTGAATAAAACCTTAGTAGGTCCTGGAATCGCCCATCCAACACACTTCCTTCCTTTCTTCTTCCCTGTCTTTTCTCCCTCCCTCTCATTTCTTTCATCTTCTCTCTTTTATTGATCATCTTCACAAGTGCTGTTTGCTATTCTACTTTTTTTTTTTTTAACCAAACACAACACTAATAACTTGCTTCTCACTTGGCCACGTCTAAGAGAATAGTTGTTCTTAATTCTGGTATAAATAACTCAGCTGATGAATTTTGCCAGCATAGGATGTAGAGCTGTGCTTTCCACTTTGTAGAGATGCAGCTCACCAACAATAGTGATAGGTCATTAAGTTTATAAATACCTTTCATTTTCTTTCTTTCTTCCAAGGAAAGTGAAATACAGGAGCATTTCAATTAGGCAACATCAGAAGAAGTAGAACAGATGTTGAATTCGTGCATTTTACAGACAGTGAAGTTTGATCTTTGAGTTGTAAGAATTCCATAAAATATCTTCTTTCACATACTTTCCACACTATATTATATTCAAGGCTGGTAGGATAACTACAAGATTATTAAAAATGCCAAATGTATCCAAAGCTACAGACAGGACTCAGCTAGACACAGAAGGAAGAAACAAGCACCACCTCCCCAACGCCCCCGGCTTCTAACACACATACAGACCCTGCTGCAGGGCAGACACTGCACACCTGTTGGCGTGCCCTCCCACAACCTGTTCCCATGGTGGTCTCCTCAGTAGTTGGATTGCTATGAGCTGCACCTCAGTGAGCATTCTCATAATACCCTTTGTCCAGCTGGGGCAGAGGGCTCGTCTTGCTCCATCTATTCTATACATCTCTATATTGTTCCATCTATTTGGTCAATAGTCTTTTGTCAAACAATATCTCACATATAGGTTACTAGAACAACCTAAAAGTACAAACGCATAAGGAAAACAATTTGCCCAACAAAGCACATGTAATTGTCCCAGTAGTGGCAATTATTTCAGCTTCCCAGGACAAAATTCAAGTGACCCTGACATGGCATACATACACGTGCCATCAGTCTTAGTTATGTTCTCATGGTTGGGACAAAATACCTGACACCTACAAGTTAAAAGAGGAAAGATTTATCTGAGCTCACAATTTGCACAGGTTTCCGTCCATAGTCAGCAGGTTGCAAGGCAGGGTTGAATGGCAGAGGGGCATGACAGGGTAGAAACAGTCCATGGCAGAGCAGACAGGAAGCAGCAAGCAGCAGCAGCCCACCTCTCTCTTTCCCTTTTATTTCATCCGGCTATAAGCCTACTGATTGGGACTACATGCACCCAGAATGGGCCTTTCCGCTTGAGTAACTCCATTTAGTCACACCCAGAAGTATGCCAAAGAAAGCAGTAGAGTCCAGTATCTTGCCCATAATCCATTCACACCCAAGAGCCTTACCTGGGAGCACATAAGGCTTTGGGGGATATTTTATATGTAAAACTTAATAACACCGTCATAAGTACAATTCCTTGTTGGTTCTTCTCCACTGTCTCTTCTTGGCATTGTACCTAATCTTATTACCAATTTTCATCTGAGTCAGACAGTCCCTTTTTGTTTCTTGGCCAGAAATCATATGATCCCAAAAAGCCTTGTAAGACATAATAAAGACTCTACCACACACAACATAATGGTTGGAAAAGGAAGAGAGTCAGTATTGCATCAATTTACATGCAAGTCTCTGTGTCAGAATACAATGTATTAGATATAACCCTGTCACCAAGAAGTATCTACTCTTGTAACCAAGGTAAGAAACAACTACTTGGGCAATGAGCAAAGTGGGTGCTTAAATAGGATATGAGATGAAACCTGATTTGAGTCCAGGATATATCTGCAACGAACCTTATTAGATTCATTATGTGAATCTGAAATACGTAAGCAGTGGGCAACATGATGCTTTATCTTAAAAGATGGCACCAGGATTCTTAGAAAGGAAACTATTTCTGGCTATGAATGCATTTCCTAAACATCTCAGATGGAAGCCAGAGTTACAGGTCTGCAGCTGTCAAAAAGCAAACAGGAATTGAGATGGCAAAACAAAGAGAAGAGATAAAGGAGAGAAAGGAGGACCAAGCTACACGGTGACAGGCAGAGAACAATGAGAAGAGTGATAATAAGAGTAAGAGAAAAAGTAATGGTCAACCATGCCATGCCAGGCATTATTCTAAATCATTTTTATGGTTCACCTAACTTAATCCTCACAACAACCTCATGAAGTGTCATTATCATTTTGTAGAAACGAAAGCCCACTGTTCAGAAATGGCTAAGGCACTTTCGATATTTAATAGGGTGGGGTAAGGGCTGGTGCACACCTATAATCTCAGCCTCTTTAGAGGCTGAGGTAAGCAAATGGCAAGTTGAAGTGCAGCCTGGGCAGTTTAGTGAGACCCTATCTCAAAAACTCATTAAAAAATTGTAGAAGCTGGGTGTAGTAGCCCAGCACTCTGGGTGACTGAAGCAGGAGGATATCAAATTTGAGCTCAGCCTGTGCAAGTTAGCGACTCAGCAAGACCCTTTTTCAAAATAATAAAAGGAATGTAACTCAGTGGACGAAACTCAGTGTGAAAACCTTGCATTCAATCTCTGGTATGGGGGAAAAAAAAGAGAAGGGGAAAGGCACTAGATTTCTACCTAGTGGGACACTGCCTAATCTTGAAAAGGTAACATAACCCGAGGAACACCTGCTAGAATCAACATACTTAATGGAGTCCCAAATAATTGGCTATTCCGAGAACAATTTTTGTCCTGCATGACAAGTTGGGTTAAGTGCTTGAGATACATTATATTATTTAATGCTGTGAATTGTAAGTTTATCTAGCAAAGAGTTGGTAAACAGTGGCCTGGATTTGAATTAAAGGGTTTCAGAACCCTGACTCGGTTCACTATCCTAGATGCGAGGGGCTGTATTCTTTTACCACCCACAGCTGAAGAGTGGAGCTGCAGGGCAGTGCTCCTCAGATCCCTTCCTATTGTGTATGTACCTATTTACAGCAGTGAACCTTGGGAGATAAAGTAAGTCATTACAAGTAATCCTAATGGAAGCCAATTCCCTCCTTGTCCTCCACTGGCTCGGACTATGGAAACCTCCATGACCCCAAATTTAAGGAAGAAGATAAAAGAGCAAGAAAGGATTGAAACGTGTAGAAAACAGAAAACAGAGGGAGCACAGAGGAGAGGGTGAAAGAAGACAAAGCAAACAGCAAAGTGCATTGCAGGGCCAGCGGGAACCACTCAGAGGAAGCCAGCCTCTGCCCCAAACCTCCTACCCAGCATGAAGTGCTTTCTATCCCCATTGAATTTCCATATGCTATTGATTTTCTACATCAATCCAGTGCAGATTATCCTGTTCCACAGTAATTCCTGGAGTAAGTGTACCCTTAAGTATGTTGCATTGCTATTACATAGATTATACAGCAATGTCCTAGAGCTGGTTCCTCTTAGATGCAGCTAGTTTCTGAAAATGCTATTAAATACCATAGGTTATTTGAAAAGAAAATTCAATTTTTTATTCTACTGGTCACAGAAATATTTCGGGCTACCAAATGTATGGGTTTTTTGTTTTTCTCATACCAAGCAGTTCTCCAGTTCTCTGCAGACACCAACTAGGTGTCCCACAATGCAGTTTAACTCTGCAACTATCTGCCCAGAGTTAGTACTGGCTCCACAGGTTCAGGGTTCAGTCCTGGGCAACTGTCCCCAACATCAGATGCCAAACCTGACTGCTAGCTCGCTCCTCAGGTTACCCACAACTTCTGTCTCACTTGGCTACAAATCAGCAGCTCCCATCTCCCTCTCTTCAGTTTCAATCATTTGCTGGAATGGCTCAGAGAACTCAGGGAAACACATTTACTAATTTATTGTTGTTGTTGTTTTGGTACCAGGAATCAAACTTGGGACCTTACACTTGTGAGGCAGGTGGCAGAACCACTGAGCTAAATAATATATGTATTATATAATAAATGATTCAATAAAGAATACAGATGAACAGACAGATGAACAGGTATAGAAGGCAGGATTTCAAAGGGTCTTGAGTGCATGGACTCCTGAGCTTGCAGAGCTGGGGTGGATGACACTCCCAACCTGCAGATACACACGCCAACCTGGGAGCTTTCCAGAGCACCCTGTACTTCAGGGATTTGAATGGAGATTTCTTCACATAGGTACTACTGATTAAGAACTTAGTCTCCCATACCTGGAGTCACCTTTTATAAATCTCTTTTAAAGCCTATTTTCTCCTAGTAACAGAAAGTTGTTCTGCACTGAACTTTCATCTATTACAATTTGTTCTGAAACCCTGAACTGAAGAAATTCCTGAACAGTGTACATGCCACTCTTAACTAAAATAACAGTTCTCTGATCCTATATCTAAATGAAATGTTGGCACTGTAGCTAAAAGAAAGAAACACAATGGTAAGACAGGTGATCAGGAATCTACTCTTGTTCCTGTAACTTCTCAACCTAATCTTTATCACTGCACCTGAATACTGAGGATTCTACAGTACACCCAGCATAACAACCCTTACTTCCCTTCCTAATATCGAAGACATTATTAAGAGTGTATCTGTACAGAACTTTGAGCTGCTCACACAAAAAATAGCCTGTAA